ATATTTAGCCGTTGTTACAACGGAACGGTACGGAACCCTCGCACATGCCGATTTTTTTGGAGTAGATTAGATTAGTAACTGCATCACACGTAACGGTAGGAACTGATGCGCTTTCAGTTCACTTCCAACAATACGATTGCTTCCAGCCAATCGTTTTCAATTGTACACCGTCGAAGTGGGCGACCGCTTGTGTGTACAAGAGAATGCTCAGCGAGTGGCTAGTCTCGTGCGCCGCGCGGTCAGTTCGCGTCGTTGCGCCATGATTCATTGTCTTTTTTACAGGAACCGAAGCGTTCATTATAACGAATACCGCCTGGAGGAAACCCACGAGTGGCGTCGTCGAGTACAGCGTTTAATCAATTCACGCAATTACGCGAGTATTTATGTTTACCACTTGCGAGTGAGGCGTACGTTGTTATGTACAGCTTTCCGTTTTCGTGGGACGATTTCAATAGCTTAAGTCAACGTTGCAACAAATCGGAAACCTTATTGCCATACACCGAACGCCTTCTGGACGTTCGTCGGTTAGTAAACACCAAACGCTGTTTACAAGGACGTTGGTAAGGTGGGGTGTGCCGACATAAAAATGATGTCACAATTACATTAAATTAGCCAGTGTACCCAGCAGTAGAGGCAGCTGTACAGTGTACTGCGAATCTATAAAAATGTTTATCCATTCTGTATTTTGCGGGCGGTGTGGGCTGGCACATTATTACATAGCGATTCAGATAATAATATCGGGCATCATACAAATTAGCATAGTGTTAAAATGCTCTACCTTTTTTAATTATTGATGAAAATGTCAGAACATTTGCGCATTGATCGCATTTTTATTCTATACTGAGTGCAGAATGGCTCAGAATATTGGTTACGAGTACATTCGATCGTATGAATAATACAACAATTACTCAATGACTCATTTTAAAATATTGATGCAGGGTTTAATAACGTGCGTTATTTATAGTTCACTCGGATACAAATCAAAATCGTTTGAGGAAAAGCTGTCAACACTTGATTCGTTAAGCAATATGTTTGCATTACTACAAGCTTTATAACACAGTTATTGGATTATAACTATATCAAATGATGGTTGTACGATGGACATGTATCAAATGGTACAGTTAGTATTAGAAGCGACTTATTTCTTAGTTTCTAAGTGAAATAAAACTGATTTTTACTGTCCACCAATATCGCAGATACCACGAAAATGGCAGATTTTTCAAAACTCCTTCATTTTTACGGTGGTAGGGCCAGCCTCGAGTGCTGCACGAATGGGCAGGCAGTCGTCTTGGTAAGTACCACGACCTCGCGTAGGATGGAAGTATAAATAAATACTTTCGCGTTTCGTTTGGTGTGTGCGGTAGCCGGAGCCCTATTTTTAAAAAGTTGTCAACGTATCTGGTAAATCAATTATGGAACCGCCTGCTCGCTTGGCAACTTTTCACATAAAAAATTATTCCCTCAAGGTTATTTTTTTAATTCGATGAGTAAATACCCTAAGTTCAGTCACTTAAGAGTTAAAGTTAGTTACCCTTAAAGTTATTTGTTTGGATCTTTAAAAGATACCTTGCCTTTGGGATTTAAGCACAAATCTCCTCCACGGATCCCTCGTTATAATTTCCCAGAGGAGGAGAGTTCTATCCACCATGAGTCCAGAGTTCTATCTCTGCTTGTTTGCCGTCTGGTTCGTGTATTTAGTACATAATTAGTTACATCAATAAATGTTCAACATCGAGCATGAAATTGTCTCAATAACTACTTTGACGATTCCGTAGCCCAGTTGCCAAAGAATTGGCTTTGGCGCTGCAGCTATGGGTTCGATTCCCGTATGGCACAACAAGTTACGTGACCATAAAACTGTCTCGGATCTGGGTGTTTGTCTACGTGAAAATTATATATGTAAAACTTCCAACACGTGACAATGTTACCCAAGAGTAATGATAATAGAAAGAAAAGGAAAAAAAGAAAAACTATATAAGTAATATGATTTATCTTTTACAAGTGGACCTAGCACTTTCCAGTCGGCTTTAATTTTCATCGTTTAGCTGCGAAATGCAATCATATGTAGTGAGCATTTCTATAAAAATGTTTTCCTCGGAAGACCTCGATGCAGATCAAAGAATTTTCCGAATTTGAGTTGTTTCAAGAAGTAATGGCGTGTTTGAAATAATGTTTAGTGGAAAAAGATTCTTATTAGAGAATTATATGGCAGAATTACAAGGCATGATGACCTAGTCGATAACATTATCTAAAGATTCACATGTTGTGACGATACAACTTAGGTGGATAGTGGAAGGGTGGGCGAAGAATATTAAACGGAAAGGTAGAGAAGAATATTAAACATTTAGAGAAAAGTAACACTTTCATAAATTGTTTACAATTTTGAAATCTGGTCAAAAGGCATTTATGGTTAGAGGCTATTTAGATCTTGGTTCTTTAACATCCGTTAAATTGCTAAGTCTAGTACTGTGTTCATTATTAATTAAGGAGTATTGTTACGAGCTAGAGTTTTTCAGACGTCGGTTTTCAAATCTTCCCTGTATTTCCAACTAAAAACGCGCACGGTGGTACTTTGATGTCACACCAATCACACCAATGGTTTACTTTTACTGCTATAAGTGCGACAGCCCTCGCGTTGGGCACCAATCCTCTACTTCCACGTCTCAATTTGCAAAGATCCCCACGTTGTCGCATCAATCTTCCACCTACACTTTTACAGGAGCGACCTTTTCACCTCCCACGTGCACTACAAATCTCACTCCACTTTTCCTCTTCCTCTTTCTTTCTCTTCGAGTTCCGCTACAGAGCTCTTTGTCTAGAATGTTCTAGAAGCGAGTTGAGTTCTAGACGTGTTTATATGTTTTAAATAAAGTTTCGGAACCTTCTTTCACTCAATACTAATAAATTTAAAATTGAATCAAGTATTTCATTCAAAATGTAAACACGTAAGTACGTTGACAATCTCTTGATATTATTCGTCAACCCCATAATTGTAGCAGCATCAACTCGTGCTTTAAAATATTCTCGTTGAAAAATTATATTAAAATTTTAATTTAAAAACTTTTACAGATATTTTTAATTTATCACATATCGTTGTTTACCCTTGATTCAAATATGATGTTTCATGTTTATTCTGTAGATATAGAGTTTATTTTAAACTGTTTATTTTTTTTTTTCAAATTTAACCCGTTGTCATATAGTTCGAAACATTTGCAATTTTTAAGTTTGTATAATAATGACAGCGGTCGATTTTTAGTAAAGATTAGACGTAGAATTTCGTTATAAAGCCTGGACCGAAGACAAATGGATATATAAACAAGAACAATGTCGTAAAGACCTTTCATAATGTTACTCGCAAAAATCGCGTATTAACCTAATGAATTGCAAACATCTCTTGATAGACGGTTTGGAAAGCCGTTGAAATGCTCCTATACTCAAGTATTCTCTGATGATATCTGGATTCAGATAATGAGGAATATGAATGAAAAAGTAATTGTCCCCTTTTAGATTTACATATAGAAATAAAAAGGGTAATCAAAGTAATGTAAAACATCATCTGCCACCTGCGCCACCAAAAATACAAAAGCCTTTCATTACATGTACGTCTAAAAAGGTTATACATTATAGATACCGTTTCGCCCCATACCCGATGTCAATTTTATGGCACCGTTATACTCTCGCGTCAACTGTATTTAGGTTTATCTTAATTTTAATCGTAATCTCACACAAATTCTTTGTGTGCTATGAAGTGAAAAACACTACAGAAAATGATATTTAATGAAAATTTTATATATTTACATTATATTTTATACTTAGGCATTTTATAGTATCAATGACAATGGGAAAATGAAAAGTAATTATACGGACAACATATATAATATGCGTTTATTCTGTGCGGCGCATAACGTACTGACCACGTTTTTCTGCAAATACGTCTATTGTCATGCATCTGAAACCTTGATGATTCGACGTGGCAGACTAAGAATCGAGACGTGCCGAAAGTGAATGTCAATATTTAAGTTTGTGAGTCGAATCTCAGTTGAAGTGACGTAATAGAAGTTCCTTTAAGAGCCTGTTTCAGAACTCTGATGACCCAAGCCGGGCAAGAAACGTGGTTCCATGGGGACAACGTTAATATAAAAATAAAATAAACATTACCTATTTGTGGTATCCGATAATGTACTACCAAAGAGAGTACGACGCTACGTCTGATTAACTTTTAATCGAATTACAGGATAATGATCTCGGTTATTGAATTGCCTTTCCGATGTAGAATTAACTCGGTCAAAGATTGTTTTTCTACCATAATATTAGTTCATATCATCCTCTTAGTCGCAGTGTTTTTAATCTGATTATCTTGTAGATTCCATATTGATCGATTCTGGGACAAATCAGAACATTTTTTATTTGGACGTTTCATAAGTACTATTGAGTTTTTTTTTATTAAAAAGAAATGTAAGATTTTGTTATATAATATCACCAAGAATATCGAGAAACCTTTAAGATCGTCTCAATGATCGACAAAGTTCACAGAATGTAGGTAGCAAAATACATAAATCCTCTCATTTAAAACTCTACTCATAATATAAACATTCCCTTTTTTAAACTCTGAAGCAGACTACATAACTTACCTTACAGAATACACAATCATATCATAACAAATCTAGTAAGCTTGCGGTGTAACAAGCTCTTGAGGATATGTTATCTTAGTCCTCTCCGAACACAATCATAGAGACAACAATGTGCGAGTTCTATAATTTAAATTCATGGAATACATTTGTTATAAATAATAATAGCTTGGCTATCTAAAAAGGATTTATCATCCATAAACTATGGACTATTTTCCGAACTCAAAACAATTCGTATACAATCGTCAGAATAAAAGGTTATAGAAAAAAATAAGCAAAAGTTGCAAGTTGAATTGTTAGTTGCACATTAAGTTTTTTAATAGTAAACAAAGCAAACGTTTTTTATTATTCTGTTCGAATCTTTATTAATCATTCATACTCCAGCACGCTGTAGTGGCCCGCGTCTAGTAATCCAGAGAATAATAGATGTCTTACTATCCCGCCGCTTCCGTAGTCTATGGTCGAGCTGTTCATGTTTATGTGGACTTTGAAAGTGTAGTCTTTATATATTTCGCTGGCGCAGTGCAGTTCGGCGTGTCCAGCGTACTCTCCGTCTCTCGACATTAAGTTCTTGTAATCCGACGCGCAGCTTATTTTCGATCCGTACGATCTGTCACCAATAATGAAGTCCTTATAACGACTCCACTCGTAAACGATCCTATTGACAACGTTCAGCCGTATTTCTCTATGCCTCTCTTGCGTTTTGTATAGACAATACGAAATCGACCTGAAGAGACAGTTGCCGTCACCGTAAATCGATACGAATCGAGATGGCATTCCCGTCTATATTTGTCACTTGTCAAATTTCAAATGGAAAATCTTCCAACATTTGACACTTTTCTTTATATCTGATCACTGCGCATTAGGTCATGGCGCACTGTCAATCATTAACTGTCACAACAAAATAACGAATAACATAATTTGGTATGAATTTTTCTAACTGTTCATTGAAGGTACATTAACAAACATGTCTTAAATAATTGTGAACGATTTACTTCGATCGATATCTCGAATCAAGTATTGTTAATAAACCGCTTAAAAACGGTAACTCTAAAATTTTGACATTTCCTCCAACTGCCAAATTTTTTTTTACTGCAACGCTGATCTATTCGGTTTTCAGTTCCGATTTTTTGTAAAAATTGTTCTGTCACCAGTTCTTGCTAACTGTACAGAGAGAGACAACGATTGATTAAATGATTAGACCCAATTAATGATTCACATCGAGTCCAGTGCCGGAAAAAGCTATTGCCCATAAAGTATCATAAGATGGTTCAATTTGCATAATTGGATCGACCAGACTTGAGACTGCCGCAGTCGTTTTATTGTTCATTAGAGCAAATTATGTATTGCATATGCAGACCTGTACCTTGTATTGTCTGAATGAATGATTGCCGACGTTGAAATCAATTATGTTGTATTAGTTTTCTGAAGACTTGCTGTAATGGTTTTCGTATATGGTATGAATCAACTACTCATTGAGTTGACTGGTATATGTACATTATATGGACAATTTAGGCGGATTCGTACGGTGTTGGCTGCATTTTTGTGGTTTTTTTATTTAATAAGTTGTCAAGCGAGCAGACGGTTTACCTAATGTTAAGTGATTACCGCCGCCAATGCACATCTACAACACCAGAGGGCCGCTGATGAGGTGGCAACCTTTAAAATAAGTGCGGCTCTTTTACTCACCAGAGGAAACACGAAAGTGTCAACTATGCTTCCACTTCACGCCGGTCTTGTGAGGTCATGGTACTTCTCCGGACGAGCCTGCCCATTCGAACATCGGCCACCGCTGATGGTGTTTATTCGGTTATTCAGAAAACATTGTTTCTCTTACTAACGCTCCCATTGCGTAATGTGCAACGACGAAATTTAACTAACCATTGAAAAATTATCTTCCGATTACTCAACGTGCCTAAAGAAATCTTCACTTCAAGAACGTCCTCCTTTTTTGAAGACGTCGAAAATCTAAATACGCTGCTTAACCTATACGCTGTTAGACGGAGAAACCATAACACAAGAAGGGATATGAAATATGAGTTAATTATTTACGTGCACCGACCATTATGCAGAATGTAAATTGTATCATTAAGATAACGTGAGACTGCTTAACGATAAAACCAGGATAATAACTAATATGAATAATACAATCTGAGCAATATCTGTTTTTAAAAGACGAAAAGTATTGTTACATTACATTTTCGAAAGGAGTCAATGTGCCTTTTTTATAAGATACCGGTTTTTGCTTGATTGAGATCCCACATGATACTAAAAAATAACTAATAATATTTAGGTATTTTTATGGAGAAAAGGGGCAAACGAGCAGGAGGCTCACGTGATGGTATGTGATTACCGCCGCCCATGAACACCTTGCAACACCCGAGGGCTTACAAATGCGTTGCACCGTAGTTTCTAAATGAATGGACCGCTTATGCGACGGCTCTTAGATGGCTCTTAGCTATTAATTTAATTTAAGTCTTTTTATGTCAAGGGCCTATACTTAAAATTCATAACTTTATGAATTCCTTTAATGAATATTTTTGAACCGTACACCTTTTGTTAAAGTATGCGAAGTATTTAGATATGACATGGAGTTGATAATACAATCACGCGTATGCGAACGAACCAGGTGACACAGTCAATGTCACACGGAATTAGCGATAGGAGAGATTGAGCAATGGTTGCGATCGGTGCAATCGACAAGAGGTAGAGTAAGCGATATACCACACGCTTTTAGCGATTTAGTTTCACGTGCGCTGTGCTGAAGTACAAGCTGAAGTGCAAGTTGGGAGAAATGAAGTGAAATACACGAAACACCCCGAGTCGCAAGGTAAAGAGGTGTTGTAGATCACTTGATCTTGAAAAGGGAAAGCCTAGAGGCGGCGTCGCGGTGAGATTGGCCTGAGAACGCTACAGTACTCTAAAACTAAGCACAGCCCTAACTGGCCGCATTGGCACGAAAGAACATGCCAAGCGATAAGTAACCTTAACTCTTTGCAATAGCCCCGTTTTCACGAGGAACATGTTCTAACGTCCACGAGGCTCAAAAGCGTCGTCTAACTTTGGTGGGAAGTTGGTTTCTTTGAACAATACAAAACACGATTTCGAATTTAAGACAAAGTTGTCTGGGATGATCATGAAGCGAGCATCTCTGAGAATTAGGTTATTAAATGAAATTATTATTTCTTTTGATAGCCTAATTCTCAGAGATGCTCGCGACTACGTTGCGTCGTTTAATAAAATACTGATATAATTACTGGATTTAAAGTATGCTATAAGTATGATGATGCATAAAAATTTTGCGCAAATCATTATACTTGGCTTACTCGAAATTACAACGCCTCTATAGACTTACTAAAAATAATGATGAATGTAGATAATGTACTGTTTATGTTCCCAAGTTATTTTTTACGTATGATGAAGCTGTATTGCACCACACAGAAATAGCGACGATCAAACCTATTACCATAGAATAGCCGTATCACTAAAAATAAGAATGAGCGGTTCGCTGTGATTCAAACCGGTCGCCGATGGTGTCGTCCCTCTCTTCGGCTCTGTGTCGAATGGGACAAACATATTAAGGGTGCGTGAGCCACATCCTACGCTTATACGTTACGAAGTTATTCAAATGACTCATAGCGCCCAAAACAGGAAATAATTCGAACGCTCTAAACGGGGATATATGTATCTCTTTGTTTTTTTTAAAATAACGAACATAGCCGTGTACATACGTTACAAGATATTTAAATGGAATTAGGACGAAAATAACTTTATGAATATCGTAACTTGTAAGTGCACAAGTAATAAAATTTTATATTTTTCTACATCAGAAGGAAAACATAACGAGTAACATATAGTACTATAAACATATTAACATCGTATCACGATGTAGCCCAATCGAAAAGACAACAAGTGCGTGCGTGTATGATTTAGTACTCTGAAATCCCAGCGGCGGTACCAATGTAATCTATACAGATAAATAAAATTGGATTTTCTGTTTGTAATATTAAAATAATTTTGACGGGACTTTCACTGGCACATAGATGATGTAATAAGGAGTAACGTAGGCTACATTTTTTTAGACATTTTATTTATTTTATATTAGACAGTCAGGAATATGTTTCACCACAGGGCCCACGATGAAAGAAGAGAGAGACCTTGTATTATCGTAAGTTATGTATCCAGTGAGTGGCCTTTATTATTAAGCTTCATCTTATACTGATAATGTGTTGGAAAATCTACTTTTTACGTGTCGAATAGAGTTGACATTGCGAAAAAAAAATGTAATGTAGATAATCTAAAATTATATATATTTATTATAAGAAAAGCAAATGTCGGCCGTTCTATTCTGTCTCGATGGCGAATTTTACCTTAATACACTATGAATCTGAATGAGGCGAGTGATCGACACTTCAGACTAGAAACGACGTTGCAGATGCCGAATAAGAAGAAAACCTTTTGAACGAAGAAAGCTAGCATGAAAAATGTATTTTGTATAGAATAAAATGGCTAAACATGTGAATTTGCCGATAACAGTTTCCAGTAGTAGATTCTTATCAATATTATCTTTATACATTGTATAAAACAAAATAGCTCCCGTTGTTAGTGCTCAGATCTTTTAAACTATGTAACGGATTTTAATGCAATTTTCAGCAATACATAGTGTTTAAGAGGAAGGTATTTATATGCACACAGCACATGCAAAGCCGGGTCGGGTCGCCAGTTATATATAACAGTAGAAACCTTGAAATATGAAAGTATAATGCCACTATTGGCTGACGTTTATAAAATATATCAGTTATGTCACTCTTGAATATTTTTAAATACAACTAGCATCGTTTAAAGTTCTCATTATATATTTCAAGGTAAATGTTAAGGTTATGAGAAACTAAACTTTTCTTGTATCCTCATATTCAGTCGTGTTACGTCAGATTAACATTTTGAATAAATATGTTGTTGTTAATTTATTCAGTACCATGTGTTAAATTTAAAGGTTGTCGCTAAGTGTCGCTAAGCGCAAAAAGATTTTCTATATGTTTCACACCAAACAGTGAGTGACCGGTAAGGGCCGGGAAAAATTCAAATAGTCCCCTTGGTTAAAATGACTAATGTTTTTTTTACTACACTATAGATAAGAGCACGTCATTTCCCTTTGCTAATAAACTTCTTCGCTACTATTTCTCACGTCTCTCCGCCATGTCGGCATCAAAGCCTTTCATTATCATCACGGTGGTAGGGCCACGCAGCAGCCTCGGCTGTTGCGCGAATGGGCAGGCTCGTCCGGGTAAGTACCATGACCTCACAGAAGACCGGCGTAAAGTGAAAGTATAATACTTTCGCGTTTCGTCTGGTAAGTGAGGTGGCCGGAGCCCAATTTTCAAAAGGATGTCAACGCATATGAAACCCTCCGGCGGCGGTGTTCACTTGACATCAGTTGAACCGTCTGCTCGCTTGGTAACTTTCCACATTAAAATAAATCATCATTTCCGTCCATTCGAGTCCACTGCTGAACATAGTCCTCCCACACAGATTGCCACGAAGCACGATACTGAACCACCTGCATCCATCGACGTTTCATACATTTGTACAGGTCGTCACTCTATTTAACGGATGGTCGTCCAACACTACAAAGCTATTGCGACACCTTTGGGATGTTTTTGTGAGACGAAATATTTACAGGTTTTTCCTGAGAATTTCCCTGACCTGCGACAATTTCTCAAGCCCAGTCCCGTATAATACGTTCACATAACCGTATATCAGCCATATCACGGTACATG